TTTTGATAGAAAACGAGGCTATCAGTGTTGTGAGTTTTTCTCAAACATTTCTCTTTAATTTTGTTGTATTTCAAGAATAGGCTGTTCTTGATGATATATATGTTGTAATTCTTAGTTAAATTAAAAAAAAAAAATAGTTGTGAACCCATTATTTGTTATTAGTGAAAGTTTTAAGTGGACTACGGTCTTGTGGTTTTTCCTGCATTGGGTTTTTCATGTAAAAATTTTGATGTTGATTTGTGTGATTGTTGTATTATTTTTATTAATTGTTTGATCCTAATTTTAATTGCATAATAAATAAATAAATTAGAACTTATAAATTATAAATTAATCCAAGTAAATTGATATCAAATTATTTATTTCTAGTTTTCTCAACACTTTTGTACGATAATGCGTCAAGAAGTACGCACTGCCTGTGACAAATTGAGGAGAATGCTTTGTCTATCACACGTCTTATGTTCTCTTTCTAATAGCAGATTAGTTTTTTCTAATAGAACACGAGATATCTGAAGATGCTGGAAAGCACTGGTAGAAACTTTTCATGGCCCTCTGCAGGGAATGCCTCTTCAGGACTCCGTTTTGTAGAAGCTGTGGATATGATGTCGTGCTTGTCAACTCTTAATGGGGGATAAGTAAATTATATACGCCAGCTTTTAGAAGTTTTCGGTGACTGTTTCCTTCTGCCAGTTCTTCCGATAAACAAGTCATGTTCTTGGCCAGCAGTCTGTTGTTTGCAACGCAAGCCTTCCACAGCAGTTCCATGTTGATTCTGTTATGCGTGCTTGGGAACTCTTTCTTCCTTCTTGAGAATTCTCCAAAGCATCATCCCGATGCTTGGAGGAAGCTTGGCAGCGTGTGTGAATGGGATGTTCAGCCTGTAAGTGGGGGAAAAGATGAAGAATCCTTTTGCTTTCTCTTTGTCGATTGAACAGGCAAGATTTCAAGTTTTCTTATAAAATTATTGGATCCAGCTATCTAAACAATCCGTTACTATGATTTTTGACACATTAATTTGTTTTTTTTAAAGGACCGTTAAATATTTAACTAATATAATTTTGATTCTATCGTTTTTAATCTTTGACATGCAATAAATTTGGTTTATTTTTTGTGAAATGTACGATGAAAATACATAGCGAAATGGGTTTTTATAAATGAAATAACTATAAAAAAATAAAAAAATAAATTATCAACTTTAAATCCCAATCAATACAATATTAAAAGATTTTATTAAAAATTATAATTAAATTCATTTTAATTTTTTTTGATGAAATTAAGTATTAACCCGTAACAAGTTACCTTGTGAGACCTCAATAAACATATAAAATAAAAATCAAAAACTAATTATCAATTTAAAATTTCAATTAATATAATGATTAAATTAAAAAATCAAAAATATAAAAAATATATAACACGATTGCAATTCACAATTCACATGAATTGTCTCATAAAAATTAAGCCGATCTCTTTTAGTTTTTTTTTTTTTTTTTTTGGTAATTTTAATTTAAGGAGGAGTGTTCGAAGGACATATAACGTTGAGAGGAATTATGACACCTGAAATCCAATTCTGGTCGTAAAATACTCGATGGACTGTCGTTTAGATTGAATATTCTCAGCATCTAATTAATAAAAATGAAAAGAAAACCCCCACAATAACAAGATGTATGGCGCCCGCCCTCATAGAAGAATTTACCCGGCTCGACCGGTCGAGCCGAATACCAAAATAAGACAATCCCAAAAATACCCCCTGAGGTACCAGGTACAAGAATGGAAGCATCTAGACATGGTCGCTGAGTTAGGGTTTTACATTTCCTTCGACCGGTCTATAAAACGACCCATACCTTCCTTCACAATAAAATTAAGAATATCTCTATCTGACTAAAATCACACGCAAAGAACAAGTCTCGCCGTTAGCTCCTCTTTTCCCTTCCTCTCTTCCCTGCTGCTCACTGCACTAATTTCTTACTCACTGACCATAATGAGGTACTGCTAATATTGTCATCTTGATAGATAGATTATCTTCAATACTTGTACTAAGCTAGACACCCCCCTGAGTTTGTTGCTAGACGCCCATTTCTCTAAGGAAACTTAGGGTTTCTTTGGGGATTTCTTGTCCTTCATGGTTGGATCTGGTATTTTGGACTAGTTTCTTAAGCAGGCGACGTTTGTGATTTGCGTGTCTGGTTATGTGTGTGTCTTCAATGGATGGGTGGTGGAACCACAGTTTATTGTCTGTGATGGTTGTCTTTCTGCTTTCTTTTTTTTTTCTATGTTTTTTCAAAGAAATCTTTTCCCCTCTATGTAAATTTTGTTTTGCGAAATTCGTTCTGTTTCATCGATTAGAAATTGGACAAAAAATAAAAAGAAAAGCTAAAATGTGGTGTGCTCCTATAGCAATCTGTGTTATTCCTTGTTGTGATTAAGGCCTGTTGGGAAAATGAGATTGTTAGACATGATTTCGAGGAGTTATATGTAGAGTGGAGCATGGTAGCATTAATCTGGTTGCTTTAACTCTTGGAAAAACTTATCAGCCTTTGTTACTCTTGGATTACCTGTAAAAATTGTATTCAGTCCTCCCTCCCAATTGTTCGATGTCATTTTGTATTATGAGTATATAGACATCAATCTAATCGAATGCTGCAGACGATATTTTTACTTGTTGTATTTATGGTGGAAATTTGTTAATATTTGTATTTCTTATGTCGCATTGGACATTCAACCTTTCAGCCGTCATCCTTCAGTGAAATGGGCCCAGAGATCCGACAATTTGTTCATCACCGTGCAGCTTCCTGATGCACAGGATGTAAAGCTTAAAATCGAGCCCGAAGGGAAATTTTTCTTCTCTGCTAGCAGTGGGGTGGAGAAGATACCCTATGAAGTTGAACTTGACCTATTAGACAAGGTCATTGTAGAGGTAAGTGCCCTTTCTGCCTCGTACCTGAACCTGTCTTTTTAAATATATATTTTGCCAAATATGAAGTTTTTAATACTACTTGCAGGAGAGCAAGGCCAGTATTGGCTCCAGAAGTATCCAGTACATTGTGAAGAAGGCTGAGAATAAATGGTGGAGCAGATTGATAAAACCAACCGGAAAACCTCCAGTGTTCTTGACTGTTGATTGGGATAAATGGATTGATGAGGATGAGGAGTTCACTAGTAAGGGTAAGCCTTTATCCCTCTAGATTCCAATTCTCATTCCATGCCATTATATTTTTGCAATGCTTGCCCTGCAATTTAGTTTGGCTAATTATTCTTTTTTTTTTTTTCTGGTGTCTAGGAGCACCTGAGGCTGAGATGGGGGATATGGGTTTTGATTTTCCTGTAAGTAACAATGTTTTTGTTGCATAAGAATGGATGGGCTGCTCTTCTCTAACTATTTGTGTCTAACGCTGCTGTTTGATCGTAACCTTTCTACTTCAGAATCTGAATCTTGGAGGCGGAGGCTTTGATGGGCCTGCTCCTGAAATGGACGATGGTAAGTCACTTCTAATTTATACAAGCAATGTGCTTTTCCCCATTTGGATTTATTACTTTGAGACTACTATGCAAACATTCCTGTATAATCTGATTTCCTAGAAATGAACCACCCCATCCGTGCAGATGATGAAGATGACACAGAGGATGAGAATGCGGAAGAAGCATCGTCAGCAGAGAAGGAAGTACCATCTGCCAGTGGCGAAGCAGACACTAAGAAAACTTGAAGTTTTCCATGAAATGTGTTTTGATGCTCTGAAGCTGCCATTTTACCTTCATATGTTGAATGTTTGACTTAAAAAGTACCACAGGTGCTGTAGTTCTACATCACAATAGTTTGTGATAGAGGTCAACTATCGGTTACGATGTGGTCTAGCCCTTTAACTACTAGTGGCACGAATCGGTCTTTTTTTATATACAATGGTACATGATGATGATGATCTATACATGCCTGGATGAGCTGTTTTTCGTTGAGAGTTTTGATGATCTGTACATCTCTTCTATCAAATTTCTTTTCTATTATTTAAGCCATTATTTTAACAAAAATCATTATTTTTTTTATATTTTTAAACAAATCTTACTATAATTTTAAAAGCAAGTTTTATAAAAATAAATAAATTATGAATTAAAGTAATTATTTAAAAGGTGATTTTAATGTTTGATATGAATATAGAAGATTTTAATTTTTTTTAAGTGATTGATCCCTAACAAATTAAATTCAGGGAGTGACAAGTTAGATGTTGCGAGTTTTAGCATCGGAGGTGCATTTATTTTTTAAATTGTAACATGTAATTTGTTGTTTATCATATATATATCAATTGAGCATACACACTAAAACTAGTATTATCGTAAATGTTTTAATATTATTTGAAAATTATATCGTAAGAGGCATTACAAAAAAAGAAAAAAAAAAAGGAAGAAAAGAGGGAATGTTCGGGTTGTTAGGATGGGTCTACGTGCCTAGCTTATAATTAAAGAGTTGGATTGTGCTTGGATTTGATAGAGTAGATCGCATCTTCAAAAGGTTGACGAACCCCCACCACCCCGCCCTCTCTCTTTTTCTTTTTTGAATTGAAAGTTATAAGCACCAAGATTGTAGGTATCTTCTGTGGTCAATTAAGAGCTCTCTCTCTCTTGATGTTTTTCTCTCTTCTTTATCCCTATATAAGGACTGATCTACAAAGTAAATGAAATTCTCTGACTAAAATGAAAAAGTTAAAGAAGAAATAAAGTTCAGCAACGAGGTAAAATTCCAAACCTAAAAGGGATAAAATGACAATGAACAAACGTTAACAATTAAATGTAAGAGGGAGCCCAGTGGATGAATAAAAAACACTCTAATCTTTTAGTTTATTTGTTAATTTTACAAAATGTTCTTTTTGGTCCTTAATCTTTCAGTTTTTTTTTAAGAACCTAAAATTCAATTTTATAAAATTAATCTTTAATTTAGCATCTGACTATTCAACTTCTCTTTGAGAACACAATAACACCAGATTACTTAACTCATCTGACTATTCAACTTCTCTTTAAGAACACAATAACACCAGATTACTTAACTCCACATCGAGTATGCAAAAAGTACACAAATCAAAACAGATTTCAAGAAACAAAACCATGTTAAATTAACGTGTAATGATGAAATTAAAAAAAAAATTGAAATCTAGTGACAAAAATGTAAATAAGAAAAAGTTTGAAGAATCTAAAAAGGAAAAATTGACAATCAACCATGGCGCGAACAATTAAAAGTGAGTGGGAGCACCCAATCTCTTGCCTGTCTTTCCCATCCTGTGGACCATCGGCCGAAGTTTCTGGGTCTTGATTCAAACAACAATTTTGCCGAGGAAGCTATATCACCATCTAAGATTTACGAGCTCCACTTCTGAAGGTTGTGAAAATGACTTTTTCAGCTAAAAGAATGTCTATTGCTAAATGAAGTGCACACCACCTAATTGCAAATTACAATTGCCACCCTGGTTAATATAGAAACTAATAAATGTATTTCTAATATTAATAATTTTTAGTTCCTCCTGTACCCCATCTGTGCCAAACAATGAGGAGCTGAGTTGAAATTGCAGAGCAAATAGCTACTGTTTGCGTATGTGTTCGATAATTGGAACCCACTTGCAGCGCATCAGGGCTGGTCAAATGATTAGGGCTTCCCCACTCTCTGACCTCTAGCTGTAAATATTCGGGGGCATCCTACAGTCTGGGCGGTGAACAAGAGTGAAGGAATTTGAGGGCTTAAATCTTCCTTGTAATGATTACCAAGTATTGGCTAGATTCGTAGGACCGCTCCATGGCTGTCTATGAGAAAAGAAACAACTGTTTTCCAGCAAGATGTGGTCTCCCATAAATCTTTTATTTGAATACACTGTAATATTAGCCAGCATTGCAATCACATTATTTTATTTTCCTACAGAAGCCGGCTAGAAATGGAAAGTGTATAACCTGCAGGATTGGGCTGCATTAAACTCTCCCAGCTCTGGCTGACTGGTTATCAAGCTCTTAACTTCGCTGTTTCCAGCTTAGCACGCCGCTCTTCATATGATGCTGTAACAAGTACAAGCAATAACAAGCACGGTGAAAACATTGATATAGAGCCGTGAATATTTATTTTGGAGGAAGTTAGTACAGATAGAGAAACGATAATGGCTGGCTTTATCACATCCCACCACCTTGTTAATAATTCAATAATATTTCATTACCATGCACGCACAATTCCATCTTTGAAGTAAAACTATGATGATACTCGAGGTTATGATAGGACTTACGCTCAGTTGCCCTTGACATGAGGGGAATATGGGAAGCTTTTTTTCTTGTCACTCCATTGCTAGATGAGTCTTTATCTGAAAGTTGAGAAATGACATCAGCAATGTAGACAAATAAAAGCAATAGCTAAGATGTTGCGTTTAGAAAAAATTGAAGTAATTTCTGCACCAATTGACAAAGGCAAATGACTCAACAGAGCCTCTTGAAAGATGGCAGCCTGGAGATGGTAAAGTCGGCATTCATTCTCCAAGTGAACATGCAGAGCTTGTCCAGCATCTATTCACAAATTCAGTAGCATTTAATAAAAAATTATCTCAGATATTGCAGTTAAAATTGCCTACAAATTCAGCAAGCAATGGATGAAAGTGATGTGAATTCCAAAGAACATGACTTGTCTAAAAAGCTGCTTTGAAATATTAAATACAAACAATGAGCTCCTTGGAGGTTGGGGGTAACCGAGCAGAGTTTGCCTAATCTCAACTACTGAATGTCTTGAAAACAGTATTTGTAATGGTCTTTTCAAATATAGAGTACCTGAAGAACACGAAAACTTGAGACCTTCAAACTCACAGGATAGAAGAACCAACGGAATTTCAGGAGCCATGAGATACTGGGGTTTCCTCAGTGTCCTGGTGTCCAGTAATGCATCTATTACCTAAGAATTGAGTACTTGACATAAGTTGCTTTCATACTGAAATAATTATTCTTGAAGTTATGGAAAACCAAGCAGCACAACGACTGTTTGAAACTTTTCCAATGATTCATTCTGTGGGCTTGTCAGCCCACCTTAACTGACTTTCAAATTCTCCCCAAGTGAAAGAATGAACCTTGAGGAATTCTCTTGAAGTTATCCGCAGGGAAGCAAAGACCAAATATTTACATCTGGATTGTCCATTAGCAAGGAAATCTAGCCCACGGAGAGGATTCCACATGCTCACTACTGTGTATGTTGGTGGGAAGCTAGGGGTGTCAGCTGACACCCCTGATTTCAAAAACGTTTTGAGAGATTTAAGCAAATATCATAGCAATCTAAGATTTTCAAGGGGATAGTACTCACTCGACCCTCCTTAAATTTTGTAAAACTTAACCATATAAGGTCGTTTGATAATTTTGTATCAAAAGTCAAACAAGACCATTAATAAGATATACTAAATGTATCAATATTTCCCTTAACTTTCCTTTACTATCAAGTACTAAAATTGCATTAAAAAGAAGTTGATTTCTTTAATTTCTAGTTCAAACACAACAATTTTCCTATAAAGAATAATAAATTATAATTCCAATGCCCAAGCATATGCACATCTTTCAATTAAAGAATGTAAACATGGTTTCTTATGCTATTTTTAAAAAATTATAATTTATTTTAAAGTTTCATGTTCTAATTTTTTATGGTGGTTTGCAAAATTGTTAAATTATAGAGGAAAAAGTTATGAACATTAAAAGACTTTCTTATTTTTCTCTTCTAGGAGCTCAAAGATTCCACCTCCTTAATCTCTATTAGCGGCAAAAGGTCTAATTCAAGAGATAGTTTTTAAATATTTTATGTTCTATTTATTTACGATTAAATAAATATTAATATTAATTTCATTTGTTAATAAATATATTTGTATTATGATTTGTTGTTGATTTTGAATGTGAATAGTTAGATTGTTACTATTATTTATTTAAAGTACCACATCAGAGTATAAGTTTTCAATGTTTAATATTAATGTTGTTTTGAAATGGTTCCTGCCTGAATATTATAGTGAAAAGCTATCATCTATGATAGAATTGCTATGCATGGTGGGGATCCTATTTGTAAAGCGACACAAGGAATTGAAAAGCACATGAGTGCACATGCACATGTAAGCATTTACTGGCATAAATTATCCGCGGAATGTTCAGAGCCATCCTGTGTGCACTCATCTTGTTCAGATTTTATATTCTAGTCATCTCTGGAAATTCAGCTAAAGCAAATGTAAACTAAATCAAGATGCTAAACTTGTCTCTGCTGTAAAACATTTTAGCTTAAAGGCATCAAATAAAGAAGAGGAAACCATGCAATTAGAATGACATCTGATACTCACTTCAGGGGATTCAAGACCTTGGCCAATCATAAATAGCACAGCAACCATGCACCGGACTTGGTGCCACAGGAAAGCACTGCCTTTAATTTTTATAGCATAAAGTTGATGCCCTTCAAATCTACAAAAGAAATAGTCAGGTCTCAATTTGAATAATTGCCAGTATAGTAAATTCACAAATGGATGTCTGTGCAATGATCAAGTTAAATAAATAAATAAAGGGATGTCTATATCTTGTCATAAGTTGGAATTTAACAAAATCAAGCATTTTTATTCATTCTGATGCTTGGCTTCCTAATCATCCATTTAACACTCCCCATGCCACTACTGTGGCTGTGCATCACCAAATATTTCATCCCGAAGTTGAGAAATGAGAAGATTCAATCTACTTAAAGCCAAGTATACAATGTTTTATATCTCCCCATCCATTTGTATTTTTAGTTTATTGTTTGTCGCCCCCTCTTGCTTATTATTCACCATAATCCATAGAGAAGAATTGAATTGGACGACCCCTCCCACCATTTTACCACCTAAGTTGAAGCCCGGAGATTGATGTTTATTTCTCTTGCACACTCAACCACTCAGGCAATGCAACTGCCGAACTTCAGTGATATGAAACATTTTAGGAATCAAATGCTAACTTATTTTTTAAGGGTTTTTACCTTGCTTGTTACTCAATTCAATTGAGAAAATTAAAAACATGGCTGACAAGGATAAACTGGTTTTGATATTGAAATCAGGCGAGATGATTTATAAATTCAGACCTCATATCACAAGGAGAGATCTCAAATGACATCACATTTCGCCTATAATTGTGCACATTCACTGCATCCATCTTGCAGAAGTTTCTGAAGTCATGTTCCCCAATAAGCTTCTTACCTGCGGTCTCCATAACCTGGGGAAAAATAAAAAATGATGATAGAGTTATTGTTAAGCCCTGTTGCTGCATGGCCAAGCAGCATAAAACCAGAGGTATAGAATGTTAAGTCCAAAAAAAAAAAAAAAAAGCTCTAGCGATAATAGAACTGCATACCAAGAGGTTCAAATTGTCATTCCAAAAGAAATATTTATATTCCCTGCTCAAACAGCTGAACCTGCACCTCAATATAAGATGACTGATCATACAAACACATGATAGTTAACAAGTTCCAGGTAATAGTTCATGAAGCACATAGAAGGACCTTGCACTGAAGTCACTTGGAACAGGACACCAGCCCACAATCCGGATGTCTTTTGGAAGGACTCCATTCAACACTCTCACATAATCAATTTCCCCTTCTGAGAAAAATGAAAAAAGATAACAATACTGTAAGTTAAAAAATGAGGAATTTGAATTAGTTTCACTTTAAAAAATTTATATCAGAAAATTCTCTCTTCCAGCTTGATAGATGTAACTTGTAAGCAGTGACATAGTGCTGTATTTAGGATGACACGCTACGCCTAAGAGGACATTCTTCCCGAAACCTCAAAAATTGTCATGGAAGGATATGACAGTATAAATAAACTTAGAAATTAGAGGGAGGATCCCAATAACAAGATAATTAAAAATAGAAGTTCAAAGTTCTCTTAAAAGGAAGGCCATTACAAGTAAATAAAGCTCAGCAATCCATCTAAAAATAGCAAACCTGGCTGACCATCCTGTTCTTCTGGAACAGTCTCCCCTGAATGTTTGTTGTGTGCATCACTGCCCTTGAGTTTGGATCGTAAATACAGTGCAATCACCTGCATCAAACATTTTTCGTGCTCTCAATTTTCAAATGAAAATTCAATCGACCCAGAAATATCAAGTGGGTATTTTAAGGAAAACAGAACTTTTATTGGGAAAGCAACCTACTTGCCCAATAGCAGAAACTCCCTTGTCTGTTCTACCACATCTCGAGTACTGTATTTCCTTCTTATCACCAATTAAAAGTCTTGTCTTTTCAAGAGCCTTGAAAATCTCAGACTGCAAGAGCACTTGAATTAAATAAGAAAATTATTTGTCATAACAACTCATCACTCAGCAAAATCACCTCACGTTTCGCTTCCATACAGAACCTTAAAATCCAGTCCCATGATCTAAAATAGGAAAAACGTAATGCCACACCTCAACTGTGGGATCCATTTGTGCCTCCAAAGCAAAACCATAAAACCTGAAGCAAAACACACAAGATTAAAAAGGTCTTCATTCTTCCACCATTATTCTAAACAGTATAAAATGCCTACAAAAAGAAAAAAAAAATAAAGAAAGAAACACATAGCTCCTTGTTGTCAACAAAAAGAAACACAGGTTCATATTCAAGTTTCAACATCCCAATCGATACCTTTGACCAAAATACATGACTTTAAGAGCAACATATCTCCTCGGATGGTGATTCAGGAACCTTGTATCATAACCTATGCATAAATATTGATAAATAAATAAAATATCACTATGTATTCTGATCGAGCTGGCGGAAAACAGACCAAAATAAAATACAATAAGAGCATGATAAGAAATCAGTCAAGTGAAAATACATAAGAGAAGCTAACAAAATAAGACCTGGCGTTCTAGACGTGGCTTTCTTTCTTCCACTCTTCTTGCTCCCAGAATTCATTTCTCCTCTCTCCTCTCCCAGATTTTCACATTTTTCTTTAGGCCTTTTCTCTTGTAACTGCATCATTGCTTAACTTCAAGTACTAGGCAAAAAAATAGTAACTGCTGTGGTTAATGCGATAAACAAAAGAGAAAAAAAAAACCTCGTTACAGCGACAGCTTGAGAGTCGAGAGGAAAACTTTGCATTCTCTTCCTCCAATTCCTAGTTTTTTTTTTCAAAAAAAAATCAAGTTCAAAACATAAGAAATATGTGAATCGAGACTGAGTTAAACAAGCGGAGCGATGATTAAAAAAGACGAAGAAGAAGCAGAGAGGATAGTAATAATACTTTGACCCTGTTCTGAAGAAAAGTTATTTGAGATCTTAAATTGATGACTTCTTCTGCTTCTTCGGGCATGGTTCAACCTTTTTTTACTCTGTTTTCGCTCCAGTCTACCACTTAAAGGCCAAATTGAAGAAGAGACGGCGACTCTTGTCGAAGTTTTCACTTGCTTTTCAAAACGCTGCCGTTTCGAGAAAATAACTTAACGAAGAGAAGCAGTGTTGGGCTAATATGGGCCAGCGTATTTTCGCGGGCTTATAAACTTTGGCTTCAAATTTCAGAGACAGGCCCAACTTGATTTTTTTACGAGGGCTGAAACAACATCAAAAGAGCATCGGGAGCTTGTACCACCTGCTTCGGAGAGTGCAGATTCATTATCTGTTTCTCCACTGTTGATCTCAGTTCATTCCAAGTCTCCAAATTCTCCAAGGTCACCTAACCATGTTGGCTCAAGCAAGGGAGATTCTAGCAAAGGGATTCCTAAGAAGGGAAGCCCACTTATGCATGAAAGACATTTTTTTCTCGATTAGATTTTCAAGAAAGCACGATTGGCTATAATTGAGAAAAAGAAAGAAAGGTTGCGGGGCTCACTTGATGAATGCTTTAACACAGGCCTCATAACCATATATCAGATGATGAAGGGTTTTGAGAGGATATCAGAATCTCTGGATGACATGGCTCTGGATGTGCCTGATGTGAGAAACAATTCGCAAATATTTACGTTGAGAGAGCTAAGCTTGCAAGGTGGTTAGATTCTTCCTTTTTTTTCCAGCAAATCAGGACCTACCAACGAGAATGACGCCTGTCTATGATTATAGGTAAGTTTTTCTGATATAATCAGCTTGTTACATGCCCTACAGCTGAAGTACCAGCTAGAATTTCGCGTCCATTATAGGTTTAATATGGAAGTAAATGTTGCCTGATACTGTTTTTGTAGGAAATAAACTGCATGTGTTGATATCCATTAATTCTGCTGCGGCAGGTTGTGTTCTTGGTCTTGTTATTTTTCTTCTCGACTCTCAGATCAAACTAATGAAGCGGACCTGACGGATTTCATTCGGTTGTTCTCGCCTGTTCTTGAGTTCATCTTCCATTGATTTGTTCATGAAGTACTGCTGGCATGCCTCCCGCATAAAAAACAGTTCTAGTAGGGTTTTTTGAGCTGCAGCAGAATCTAATTTGATCGTTAGGAAATGCTGGCAATTTCACACCTGAGAATAGAGGAATAGATACTCATGGATTATAATTCAATTTTTCTATGATGGTAATAACTTGTCCATTGGCTGGTAATATATTATTATTTTCTTGAGAGAGATTGTTTGGATTACCTTGAAACAATAGAAGAATATGTAGTTTGCAAATTGTAAGTCTGATTGAAGCCATAAAAATAAAAATAAAAATTCTTGGTTATGGATGGCTATACAGTCAAAGAGCGTTTGGAAATGGAAATGTGAGCTAATATGTATTTTTTTTAAAATTTAATTTTTTTATAAAAAATATTTTTTATATATATTTTATATTTTGTTGATATACTAATCTTAAAAATAATTTTTTAAAAATAAGCATATCCTTAGAGCAGCTCTAACGGACGAGGCATACGGAGAGCTAAAACTGTTTTGCCTATTTAATTGTTTCTGTTCATGTTCCAACGGGCAAGCTAAACAAATAGCCATTTTGGCTATTTGTTTTGTTAACAGCCATTTCTACATTTAACTGTAGAAATGGCTA